TCCTTTTTTCATTTCTGGTTTCTCTCTTTATCAAATTGATGCCTAGACTCTTGCTGTTCTATCATCGGGGTAAGCAGATGGACCTCAGGAACAGCAGATTCCATCATCTTGCCTTGGCATCACTAAAAAGGAGGCCTGGAGCTTTTTGAATTGGGTCCGTTTGCTTTGTGTGTTTCTTTCTAAGACAGAGATGTTTATGGGGCCAAGTTATAAGAAAAGTCAAGGGCAAATACATAAAATCCTAGAGTTCTCTGGTACACTACTCTCAAGCTGAGCCATTCTCTTGTCTTTCTGGAATTGATAACAGAACTGCAGACATTTCCAGGAGTCAAAAAACTATTAAATGAACTATTACCTTCATATGCTTATATTCATATTTATTTACTAAGAAGCAGCTGGTATATATTATTTATGCTTCCTTATGGGATACAGCTTTCTCTGTATACTTTGATGCTTAAATACTTATGTGCACCCGTGATTTCACCTATGTGAATATACCTTTCACTGATGAATAATAATATTAGCTAATGATAGTTAGAATCAATTAGCACTTTAAGGCTTGCAAAATGCTTTACAAATATCATCTCATTTTTATCCTCACAGCAACCCTGTGCAGGAGATGCTATTATTATTCCCATTTTACAGATAAAGAAACTGGGGGAGACAGGGGTTAAATAATTTGCCCAGGGTCACAAAGCTATTAAGTGTCTGAGGTTAGATTTGAACTTAGGTCTTCCTAACTCCAGGTCCAGCTCTCTATCCACTGTACCACCCAGCTGCCTACAGTGCAATGATCACAGTCCAGCCACATCTTATCACCCTATAGTTCTTGTTCTTAGCTTTCTAAGATATTTTAAGTAGAATATGCACTGAAGGTCTAGCTGTCATTATTTTAGCATTTTTGGGGATATCAGTACAATATTTGGACAATCCATCTGTTACATCTCACTTTTACTACACTGGTGGTTCATCTCATTTCCTAATAATACATGTTTTGATGACACTTATGCCATTTTTCATTTAAAAAGTCACTGTAGGAATATCTATAGACTGCTTACACCCATCATATATATTTCCATTTCCACTGTGGTCACCTGCAATACTAATTCTTTAATCAATCAATCTATCAATTAACATGCATTTATTAAATGTTTACTGTGTGTCAGACATCATACAAATGCTGGAGATACAAAGAAATACATTGTTCCAGTCCTCAGAAAGTTCAGGAGTGGTGGGGAAGCAGCTAGGCGGCACAGTGAATAAAATCATTCATCTTTTGTTTTCAAAGGGGATCAGTGGACTTAGAGTCAGCAAGACCTGATTTTGAATCCTGCTTCAGATACTTACTTGCTGTGTGAATCTGGGCAAGTCACTTAGTTCTCTGTGCCTCCGTTTCCTTATTTGTAAAATGGAGATAATAACAGCACCTACCACACAGGGGTGCTGTGAGGATCAAATGAGTTAACATGTAAAGCATTGTTACAATATTCAACCCAAAGAGTATACACTGTTAGACTAACTCAAATGGCATTCCTTTTGTTATACAAATCCTCTTAAGGTGGTGAGGTGGATAAGAGCACTGGCCTGGAGTTAGAAAGACCAGAGTTCAAATTTGACCTCAAACACTCAATAGTTGTGTTACCCTGGCTGGACAAGTCACTTAACTCCTGCTTGCATTAAAAACAAAACAAAACAAAACAAAACAAAACAAAAACAAAACAAAACAGGGGAGGGAAATGGCAAACCACTCTAGTATCTATACCTAGATCTAGAAAAATATATCTAGATCTAGATCTGGAATACATCTATATCTAGATCTAGAAAATCCCACGGACAGTTGGTTCATGGGGTCATGAAGAGTAAGACACAACTGAATGACTCAACAACAAAAATACAGTTAATTCTTATGACCTACTCTGAACTTGTCCAGTATAGGACTGTAATGGAAAGTATCTGAATGTCAAAATCTATCAATTTAATTGGTTCTTCCTGGGAAGTTGCATTAGTTTCTAACTATATAGGTATTCTCCAGCCTGCAGACTCTAGACTCATACACACACACATTTACTATTACAGCATTTTAAGATCAGGAATAGATTGGATTTACCACATCTGCAGATTAACTTTATAGATTTTTTTAAAGTTCCTTTGGATGAATTCTCTAGTAACATGGACCCTAATTTATTTCATTATTCTTTCATTTCAAAATACTGTCCTTACTTTGGACCTGCTTTCCTGGATGTTTCATTTCTAAAATTGAGCCATTGCTATAAATTGCCAGAGACCAGTACCTGAAAAACCAGGGATCACTGCATATATGCTATCAAGGACAGGGTTTGATAGAGATCAAGGGGCTTTCAAGTTCAATATCTTCTAGTCTCTTTTTTTTCTCATTTTTTTCCAAGTGTTTTTAAGCTGTTGAATCAAATACCAAAATATAACCCTGAGTCTCTTTCATCAAATGTTTACAGATGCACTTTGATTACTAACAATTTGCTAGAAACATTATCATTTTTTCATTTAAATACTTTTTAAAAGGTTTGTTACCTTTTAAATACAATGTTTTTATGTCTGAGGTCAAACACCTCGGCCAGAGGAACACAGCTCCAACTTTTAAATGCAAGTCAATAGGAAAAGCAATTCAATTTATATAAATTCATTTTAGAAATAGCTTTTCAGGAATACTGAAGATCCATTCTGCAAAATGCACTTCTATAGCAAGATATACCAAGTCTTGTAGTGGTCTAAAGAAGTTGGCACAGCTTCTTATATTGTGCCTGGTGTAGTACCATTGATTCAACAAACTTCTGATTCAACAAGTATAAATTTTGCTGATCTGTCCAGAGAGGAAATCACAGCAGAGACAACTTTTTTTTAAGCTCACATCAGAATATGGCGGTGAATTTAACTGTTCACCTTCAGAAGGTTAGAGAGCATCATTAGGAGCTAGAGAATTCATTACCTCTCAGCTGCTGAAAACAGGAAGTGCTGTTGTCTGCCTCGAGTGGGTGCCTCAGGACCCCATTGCTGGGCTTGGGCCTCTCGTAGTCTCTTTCAGGGAGCATGGCTTGCTCGCTCTCCACTGTGGGATCTGGGTGTGGGGACAAGGACTGTGGAAACCCAAACATCAAGAGAGAGGAGAAGAAGAGTAAGGCACCACAGAGCAGGAAGCCTACCCACCAGGCACCGATCCAGCGGGGGTCATCTGGGGTGATCTCCAGGACACCTGCAATGGCAAGATCACATCTTAGCTACTTCGTCTATAGGAAAGGAGGACATCCAGGTCTTTAGAGATAAACAGTACACATTTCAGTGTGAAATGTCTGAATTTTTCTTTCCACAACCTGTATGGAATTCCACAGCGAGGTGACTTTGGAAATGGACTGTATCTTGGGAAACTCATCAGTTCCACATCAATGTGGAAACATCAGTTTCTCCTATGGCCTGTGACTGAGCACTTTTTCTTCTTGTTGCTCTCTTAGTTAGTTTGTCTCTACTCTCTTGGAGTGGAGGAGGCGGGGGGGGGGTGGAGAAGAACAGTAAAGAGCCAGGTAACATTTGTAAAACATCTGAAAATTGACTGGTTAGTGAACATGTAACACAGATGTAAAACAAACAAAGTAAGATTATGGTCCTCCTAATTTCATTCTCCAAAGTATCTAAATTGTGAGATATTGGGCTATATACTTATTTGTTGCCTTCATTTGGGTCTAAAATTTAAATATATACCCAATATGGTCAATATTTTCTTTTTTTTGCATATTGGTACTTGTTTATTTATGTGAAATGAAAATATAGTAATTTTATTAAGTACAGTAATTTAGACTTTCTCCCACACTTCCACACACAATCACATTTTAAAAACAAATCCAAATACTAGGTTACAGGATATATTTGACTTCATCACATGGTGACACAATTATGATATAGTTATTTCCAGAAATTGTGAATTTGGGATGTTTGGAAAGCCACAATCACTTTATTATAGTCCATATTTTCAAGTTGACATTTAACAAGTTGATTCAAACCTTGGTTTGTATTCTGGGGTACTGTCTTATATAATAGCCCTATGCAAATTGACTCAGATATATTCAGGATAGGGTTTGGTTTTCCTGAAGTGTCTTGCGTACAGTGGACACTGACTAAATGTTTGTTGACTTTGAATAAATTAATAAATGGTTATACCTTAGGCCATTAGGGAAAACAATATTATAATAAGCTATATACAAGAAACTGAATTTGTGGGTATTTCTACAACTTTCAAGTATATGATCACTTGCAAATAAATGCTATAAAAATGCTTTTTGTTGGTGTAGAACAGGGAAAAGGAGCCCAGGAAACAATTTCATGTCACCTTGGAAATAAGAGCCCTAAAGGTCCATGACCCAATTTATTAATAGAACTGGCCATAGAAGAGACAAGGCTCTTTCTGACTTTGTTGCTGACCCACTATAGGACACTGGGTGAGCAATTGTGCTTCTCCAAAGAGCAGCTGACTCTTCCAAGAAGATGTTGGCAGCTGATAGCCGACCTTTGGAAATTGCAAGTATAAATGCAGTAGAAATTATGACTGCCTTCACACAGGCACCCAATCAAATGTTATCCAGTGTCATTGGTGCTAATGTCAATTTCTGTATTCTGCCTGATAAAGGGCACAATTTAGGGAATACAAACTCATGATAGAAGTATCACTAAACTGAAACCAGCTCTGAGCTGGTAGAAAAAATCAACACATACATGCAAACCAAAAAGGAGCAAAAAGAAGCAAAATTGCCTCAGGTAGCTGAGCAGGGATGTTTTCCCCAGTCATTTACTCTGTTTCTTCACCTGCTGCAAGGCGATAAATGAAAACAAAAAGAGGTAAAAGGCACGGCTATATTTTCCTCTGTTGCGTGTATACTCTGTGAATGGGAAATAGGAGAGCTGGCAGATGTGAATGAGAAAAAAGAAACCCGGGCAGTTTATTTTGGGGGACCCAAATTAGTAACACATTAGAAGTCATGTTTTCATTAGAAACATAACAATGTCTGCTCTCTGTGTGTGAGAAAATATCCCACAGATTTAAGGGAAATGTTTCTGTGAATTTGTCAACTCGTTTCTGGTTGAATTTAGTATGTGTGTAGAATAGTATAGCAACACACTTGTTTATAATTTGTAAGACTCCAAACAGGACTAAATGAACCTAAATAGGCACCTGATCTTCTGAGAAAACTGGGGAAGGTGTCTGAAGGCGTGAGGAGATAGAGGTTTTAGAGGTCCAGGGAGATAATAGTTAATTAACTATTTTGAGAAAGTCAAAGTTTTTTTCCCCCTTCTATATTCATTGCTCAATACATTGTGAGAGTAAGAGAAAATGTAAAAAAAAAAAAAACCACACAATATAGGAATTGACTTTTTTTGGAGCAGAGAAGCTATATATGGTGCCTCACAGTTTTTGAGTTTGATTTTAATCCTTCTGAAATGACCATAGCTAGAATGGAATCTTTTTTCTTTTTTTTTCTTTTTTTAGGCAGTTGGGGTTAAGTGACTTGCCCAGGGTCACACAGCGAGTAAGTGTCAAGCGTTTGGTCTGAGGCGGAACTTGAACTCAGGTCCACCTGACTGCAGGGCCAGTGCTCTATCCACTGTGCCACCTAGCTGCCCCTAGAATGGAAACTTTTTCCAGATAATCAGCTTCTATCATCTCTCCCCCAAGACAAGTCTTTGGACAAAGTGATGAGTTGTGAATCATTGAAACTGGGTACTGGGAGAATCTGGAGAATCTTACTGGCATTCTTACCACAGTTGTGTAATGAAACAAAATTTTGATTTGGAGTTGGAAAACCTAGGTATGAGTCCTGATTCTATCAGGTACTAGCTATGTGACTATAAGCATGCCACTTCTCTCCTGTGGGTCTGAGTTTCTCATTGGTAGAGTGAAGTAATTGATGATGATGATGATGATACTTTTATTACCTTGGAATCCCTTGATTTTGTTGATCACCCTCCTCTCCTTGATACTCTCTTTAGGTTTCTGTGACATCATCCTTTCCAGCTTCTGCCTGTTGGACCAATCCTTCTTAATGTCTTTTACTGGATCTTCATCCAGGTTACAACAACTAACCATGAGTGTCCTTTGAGGTTTTGTCCTAGGCCTTCTTCTCTTCTCTCTCTATGTTATTTTTCTTTGTGATCTTATCAGTCCCCATGAATTCAATTATCACCTCTATGTTGATGATTCTCAGATTTACTTATTAAGTCCTAACCTTTCTCCTAACCTCTAGACTCACATTTCCAACTGCTTATTGGACATCTAAAACTGGATGTCTTGTAGACATTTTCAATTCAGCATGTGCAAAACTGAACACATTATTTTTACCCTAAACCCTCTTCTCTTTCTGACTTTGCTGTTTCTGTCAATGGTACCACCATCTTCCCAGTCACCCAGTCTCAAAACCTACACATTATCTTCAAATCTTCACTTTCTGTCATCAACCATAGCCAATTAGTTGCCAAATCCTATCAATTCTACTTTCATATTATCTTTTTTACATGGCCCTTTCTTTTCTCTAATACTGTTACCATCCTAGTTCAAGTTATCATTATCTCATTCTAGGACTATTGCTGTAGTCTTCTGGCTGTTTCAAGCCTATCCCCACTCCAATCTATTTTCCACTCAACTATCAGATTGCTTTTCCTAAAGCACTGGTTTGGCCATGTCATCCCCTATTCAAGGAATAGGGTGACTTCTTATGACCTCCAGGATAAAACATAAAATCAGCTTCCCTCCCACCTAGTCTTCTTAGACCTTACTTCCCCTCTCCAAGTACTGTACTCTGAGATCCAGTGACACTGGACTTCTTGCTATTTTTTACACGACAAACTCCATCAGCTGAATCCATTCATTTTCTCTGGCTGTCCTCCATGGAATTCCTCTTGGAATTCTCTCCTTTAGCTCCATCTTCTGAATTTCCTAGATTCCTTTAAGTCTCAGCAAAAATCTGAAGAAGTCTTTCCTAATAATCCTTAATGTTAGTACCACTGCTGATTATCTCCAATTTATCTTGCCTGTATCTTGTTTATAGATAGTCATAGGTATAGCTTTCATAGACAACATAGTTGTTTGTATGTGGTCATCTTGAGAACAGGGTCTATTTTTTTTTTGTCTAATACTTAGCACAGTGCTTGAAGGCACTTAAAATGCTTGTTGACTGACCTTCCTAACATGATGGCTATTGTGAGGGAATGCTTTTTGAAGTGTAAAATATATATAAAATATAAGCTATTAGTAAGGGAATGTCTAGGTGATCTCTTCAGTTCCCTCCCAACTCTATTGTTCTATAATTCTAAAACTTTTAAAATTTAAAACTTTTAAATTTTCTCCCCTCCTCCCTCCCCACTCACCCTCATTGATAAGGCAAGCAACTAAATATAGGTTATATATGTGCAGTTATGCAAAACACTTACATAGTAGACATGCTGTGAAAAACTAACTCTATTTCCCTTAATCCTATCCCACCCTCCCCATTTATTCTATTCTTTCTTTTGACCCTGACCCTCCTCAGAAGTATTTGCTTCTGATTAACCCCTTTCCCAATCTTCCCTCCTCTCTATCATCCCCCTACTGTCTTGTTCCCTTCCCCCCCCATTTTCCTATAGGATAAGACAGATTTCCATGCCCAATTGAGTGTGTATGTTATTCCCTCCTTAAGTCAAACTCTATGAGAATAAGATTCACTCATTCCCTCTCATCTTCCCCCATTTCCCCTCCACTGTAAGAGCCTTTTCTTTTCTGATTTTTTTTGTGAGATAATTTACCCCATTCTACCTCTCCCTTTCTCCTTCTCCTAGTATAATCCTCTCTCACCCATTAATTTTATTCTCCAGATATGACCCCTTCATTTTCAACTCACCCTGTGCCCTCTATCTATCTATCTATCTATCTATCTATATCTATATATACATACATATAATTTTTTCCCCTCCACCTACCCTAATACTGACAAAGGTCTCATGAGTTACAAATATCATCTTTCCATGCAGGAAACATTTCAACCATAGTAAGTCTCTTATGATTTTCTCTTTCCTGTTTATCTCTTCATGTTCCACTTGAGTCTTGTATTTGAAAATCAAACTTTCTACTCAGCTCTGGTATTTTCATCAAGAATGCTTGAAAGTCCTCTATTTCACCGAATGACCATTTTTTTCCCCTGAAGGATTATACTCAGTTTTGCTGGGTAGGTGATT